AAGAAAACTTCTGCACGTAATTGGCGAGAATAAAAACCTGCACTACACTGTTTATAAACGCTTGCAAAGCACTGTGCTTCACCTTCTGTGTCCCGTGGTTCTCACAGCTGCACAAAGGAATTAATGGAGGAACTTAAAAAAGTACAGAGGCTGGGAGGGCACCCCAGAGTGTCTGATACAATCAGTTTGGGGTGCTGAAGCATGAGAAATGTTTGTAGCTCTCCAGGTGATTCTAAGGTGTGGGCTGTCTATGGATTATTTTATTTAAACCACACAACTACCCTAAGAGTTCAGTACAATTGCCCTCCACGCCCATTTTTACAGACAAGGAAATTGAGGCTTGGGATGGGTAGAAGATTTCTTAGGACTTTGGTGCTGCTGTCAAGGAGCAGAGCTGAGATTTGAATTCACACAAGATGACTCCCAATACGTATGCATCACTGACACCCTGCCTTAGCCTGGTTGTAAAGGAACATCTAACATCGTCTCTAAGCTGTCCAGGAGATGCATCCTATGTGGGGAGCTTGTGCTGTTCTTTGCTTTTTGGCTTCCCAAGACTCTTCACAATTCCCAAGCCAAAAGATCACTGGGAGTTCAGTAAGAATGAGGGGTAACTCATTTAGATTTAGAAGCATAGGAAGGATCCAGAAGAGAAAAAAACCTGCTTCTGCCTCTCCCCAACGTAGCAGTGAAAATACACTTGTTTTCTGCTTAAGATCTGTGCATTTGTTTGTTTGTTTGGTAAACTCCTAGGTTCCCACAATCCTCATGCATCAGCTTCTCAAGTGCCAGGACCACAGGCATGCACCACTGTGCCTAGGATTAAAGCATCTGAAAATAATTAGTACAGATACTATATTGAAAGTCCCAGAAGACCAAAGAGGAAATATTTTTTTACCATCCCCATTTCCAGTTTAAATGAATGTTTTCATTTGCTTGTGTCAATTTCTGGGCCTTGTTCATAAACCTGTATGGTTTTTATATCTAAAATATCATAATATTGTTACGTTTTTGTAATAGTCTGTTAACATGATGCCATGCATATCTTTCTAGATTTGCCATGCAACTCTAATACGCTCTTGATAGCTCTGTAGATAATGGATCTAAGCCAGAGATATTTTCATTAAAAGTTCTTCTCTTTAGGAAAAGAACAAAAAGCTTAGCCTGGCTACTCTGAAAGCTGTTATAAAAATTTATAAGCCTGTAAAAGTCACATGCCATGGCGTGACTTTTTTATTTCCTGTATGCTCCTAAAAACCCCCTCTCCTCACCCTATGCCTGGGATGAAGAAATCAAAAATATCTGCTGCATGAATGAAAAAAAATGGTACTTTCTTAGCTCTATGGTAAAGTTATAAAATGGGACTCCTTAAGAGTGGGGACAGAAGACTCCAAAGCTAAGCCTGACATCAGGGCAGGATAGACAACAACAAAAAGAAAAGCAGGCAGGAAAGAAAGACAGCTGGAAAGCTCCTGATAAAGGCCAGTTAAATTGGCCGGGAGGAAACGTGTGGTTTCCTGAATGGTACCCGTTCAAATCCTCAACCTTTGAAGTACAACATGTGTAAACCTTGTCAGGGACTCACAGCTTGCCCATGTGTCACATTTTGGGATATTTTTAAAAGATGTGTTTATGTTTTTGGACTCCTCTCTCCTTATGCACTGGAAGGGATGGGGAGGCATAGGAGGCTATAGCAAAAATAATAATAACAATAATAGTAATAGTAATAAAGCTGCAAAGGATTGGAGGACATTTGGCAGAACATCCACTTACAAAGTTCTTAGAGCAAGGATTCTTGTGCTGTGCACCTGGGGCATCCTCTGGATACCACAGTGGGACTTTGTGACACTGAAGCCCTTGAAATCAATGTAAATTATGTACGGGTGTGTGTCCAGGAGATCTGTTTTCATCAGATTTGTGTATCTTTTGGCTATAGGGCCTCTTTCTCCTTCCACTGCGTCCATCCAAGTGGGACTCTTCTAAGCCCATCATTATTTGCTGGAAGCTGGAGATGAGGATGAAAGATAGAAAGCAAAGAAACCAAGAGCCCCATGCAAATCTGTATGGAGTCCATTCGTGTGAAAAGCTTAATTAGTGTCTGCACATATAAGGGCCCATAAATGGTAGCTGTTACTACTTTTATTACTCCGTGCCCAGCACTTCAATTTTATTTCAGTCTCACAACAACCCTCGGAGGTCATAGAATTCCCATATCCTCAGAGAGACTGAGTCACTAACCCAGGGTCATACAGCAAGTTGTAGGGTTCAGAACTGCCTAATTCCAAAGCTCCCGTTCATCCTCTCCAGGCCCCGACCCCAGGCCCCACAGCTGTCTGCCTGGAACCAGCTCTCTGCCCGAACCCCACCCCCAATCTCTGACATCTCAAGCCTCCAGGTCCTCCCCTCCCTCCCTGCACAGGGCCAGAGCCAAAATTGAGCCTCTTCAGGCCAAGGCACGATTTATTTCCTTAGGCAATGTGACCCCAGCTATCACCCTCAAATTCCACACTCAAAACCATTTTCTACCCTTTAATTGTGAAGTGTCTATAAAACAAATAAATCACGGTTCAATTCCTTGTTTTGACACAGCCAAATCAAAGGCAGAAGCGAAGAAATGTTTCCTGGTAGTCACACAGCAGAGGAGTGAGAAAGCGCTAACTTATTTTCTGGTTTCTAAATCCACGCGCTAAAACCTGCACTTACATGTCAGCCACAGAGTCATCTTTCCATCTCCGGAAGCTCGTGACGACTGCGCGCCCTGAGCCCTTCCTCTGCACCTTCTCTTAACAGGTATAGTCCAGGCCTCAGCAGAGCCGAGCTGGTTGCACAGCTGGCACGTTTGCAAAGTTCGAGTCCCTCAGGACCACACTGGTACTAAGCAATAGACGCGGGACAGTCAGGGCTGCTAACCAACCCCTCCCACCAGATCTACCCAGGCACCGAGAGAGTCATCGCACCACCATCCCCTCTTGGCTGGCCCTGTCCAGAACTCAGGTGTTCTCTGGCTCTGAAATCTGGCCAGCCTCTTGGGAGGAGGGGAGGTGCATTCTATAAATCCAAGGCCCCGTGCCAGGCTAAGCTCTGCGGTCTTGTCGTCACAGGCAGGTCCCAGATGATCCTGCTGCAGTTTCAGATCTTGGAGCTTTAGACAGGGTTTAGTTGTTATGCAAATATGAGTTACCCTAAGGCCTCCTCAGCCCACTAATTCCAGAAAGGAAGGCGTAGCCATTTTCCAGCCCCTCCTTTTTGCTTGCAAGTTCTCGGCCTCCTGCAGAGTTCCAACGCCGCCGCCAGCCCCTCGCGCTCTCCGCTCCCTCGTGGCTGCTGCTCATTTCCCTGTATCTCGGTACGGTTCTCCTGAAGGACGGGTTGCACGGGCGCTTGGCTACTTTCGTCTGTCCTTCCAACTCCCGGCGCCGGGCTCTGCCTGTCCTGAGACCCACGCATCGAGGCCGAGCTCTGGTGCTCTGCAGGGACCCCGTGGGGTGCGCTCCGGGCCACGCGTCCCGCCCTCGCTGGGTCAGGGGTGTGACCGAGAGTTTAGATAGGAGGTGCCTAGCTGTGGGGCGCACCCAGCCGCCCGCGGAGCTTCCTCTTTGGCGCAGCCCCTGCGCGCTGCTGCGGCCGAGCGCGCGGGGGGCTCTTGCACCCGGGTCGGGCCTCGCCCGCCCGCAACCTGCACTGCAGCCCGCCCTGGAAGATGTCCTTCTATCCCTGCAACACCACCGCCTCGGTACGGAGTGGGAACTCGGCGACGGTGGGCGGAGTGCTCTTCAGCGCGGGCCTCCTGGGCAACCTGCTGGCCCTAGCGCTGCTGGCACGCTCGGGGCTCGGGTCCTGCCGGCCGCGCCCGCAGCCCTCAGTCTTCTACGTGCTGGTGTGCGGCTTGACGGTCACAGACCTGCTAGGCAAGTGCCTGGTGAGCCCGGTGGTGCTGGCTGCCTATGCGCAAAACCGGAGCCTCAGGGGACTGGCACCCGCGCAGGGCGACTCGCTGTGCCAAGCCTTCGCCTTCATCATGTCCTTCTTTGGGCTCGCCTCGACGCTCCAGCTCTTAGCCATGGCCCTAGAGTGCTGGCTGTCCCTGGGACACCCCTTCTTCTACCAGCGGCACATCACTGTGCGCCGGGGCGTGCTCGTGGCGCCGGCTGTGGGCGCCTTCAGCCTGGCTTTCTGCGCGCTCCCCTTCGTGGGCTTCGGGAACTTTGTGCAGTACTGTCCCGGCACCTGGTGTTTCTTCCAGATGATCTCCGGGGACGACTCGCCGTCGGTGAAGGGCTACTCGGTGCTGTACTCCACCCTCATGGCGCTGTTGGTGCTCGCCATCGTGCTGTGCAACCTGGGCGCCATGCGCAACCTCTACACCATGCACCAGCGCCTGCGACGGCACACGCGCTGCTGCAGCCTCCGGGACCGCGCGGGCGAGGCGTTTCCGCAATCCTTGGAGGAGCTGGACCACCTGCTGCTGCTGGCCCTCATGACCGTGCTCTTCACCATGTGCACTCTGCCGTTAGTTGTGAGTCGCTGGCGGCCGAGGCTGCGGGGGAACTCGGGCGTGTGGCGCCGCGTGTGTCGGGCTGGGAGGGCGGAGCTGCGTCCTGGGCCGGGAGCGGGGGTTGCTGAGCTCGGTGAGTCCGATTCCCTGCACGGCGCAATTTGCTTATGGAGAGGAGGCAAAGTCAGAAACAGGAAAAGAAAGACAAACCTGGTCGTGTCCCGGAGTCCAGCAAAGCCCTTTCCACTTGGCAGAATCCCCTGCCTACCCTTTCCACGCCCCTCTGGCGAGGTCTACGGTCGGTTTGCTCCTAGGAGCCTGGAGGAAGAGAATTGGGTTTCCTTGGCCACGCAGCTCCCCTACCTTTTCATGCCTGGTAGGTGGAGTTTTATTTCCCCCGACCTGCCCATGGTTTAGCGGTGTCAGGATGGGGCGAGTGGCACCTGCAAGTTCTCTGTGGAGTGTTGGCATGGGAAGGAAAGAAAGGACCTTTTGAGTCTGCCCGAGCGGCTTGCGGAAGGGAGTGTCTAAAACACACATTTAGTTTTGGGGAGAATAATAATAATATTATTAATATTAATAATAATCTGCATAAACTTAAGAGGCACGGCGACAGCTGTGTCAACTGCAGCGGGGGACGGTGGCGGTGGACCCCAGTGGAGGCTGTTGTAAGCAGGCTTCAGCTGTGGTGTGGTTTTGACAACCTGTCTTGACACATTTTGTTTCTATCTTGGCAAGTGAGGTGGCTCGAAAGCCATTACTTGAGTTTCAGTTTAGGAAGAGGACGGTGGTGGAGTGTGAATTACCTCCTTTCATTTTAACTCCTGCGATCCCTGGCACCTGGCAGTGGCTGGAGGCCCAGAAGACTGTTTCGGTGTCGTTCCTGACCCTCCCGCGATGCCCAGGTCCAGGAAGAGCAATCATTTCTGTGAAGTGCAGTATGTGGTCAGCGCCAAGTCCTTGCAGTCCTGAGACTCCTGGGACTAGGAAAGTTTCCTATCATGGTGCAGCAGCTTAGGATGTCACTTTTAATGGTGGATGAAAGGGAGATGTGAGTGATTTCCTCTTAAATGCCTTGATCGTGGGGGAAGCTTAGGCGGTAGCATCATTCTGTAGGAGAGGACCAGAATTCAAACACACACAGACATAGAAACAAATCAGTGGTTCTCAAGGTGTAGCATGTTCAGAATCTTCTGCTTCTTTTTAAAAACAAAGATCACCAAACCCTCATCCCCCAGTATTTTAAATTAGGGCTTTTTGACGATTTTCATTTGGCCCTGCTGATTCAGGAATCTCCTTTGTAGAACCACACTCTTCAGCAGGAGGCGAGGTCATTCCTGTCTGCTGTGCTCTGTAGAGATTTGAAGTTAATAGTAGTTTTTACTTCTTTTAAATTTTAATTTTTATGGGTACATGTTTGTAGTACATAGTAACTACATTCACTGTGGGGATGGAGTTTAAGTCTGAAACATATCTTAATATTTGCAGTCTGCCTAAAACTTTAAGCCCCAATTAACCTAAATACTTTCCCAATTTTTTTAAAAAAGAAATCTATTCTTCTCCTTAGTAGATGGGTATTTTTTAAAATTACACTCAGTTATGATTGAATGTCATCAATAAAAACTATGGAAATGTATTTTTCTCTACTGATTTAGCACTTGCCACATAGTCAAGATTTTACCATTTGAAGTGTAAAAATGAAAATACTGTTTCATTACAGAAAACTTTTGCAAGCCGCTATTGGAAAGTTGCAACCTCACTTACCTATGCTGTGATAAAACCAAACCATGGCCAAAAAGCACACAACGTTTGACCTGGGTTTGAATGTTTTAGTAAAAATAATGCAGAAAGCAGTATAACACAGAGGAAAGAGTTTTGCATTTTTTCATGGTTCTGAGGAAATTTGAATTAGCTCAGGGCTACTGTGAGGATTAAAGGAAATAATGGACCTGAAAATGACTAATAATCTTATAGAGTACGAAATACAGATAATGCAGATGATGCTTTTCATGGAAACCAGCATTTTCTAGGAAGGATAAGGATTTTAGTGTCAGATACAGGTTTGAATCAAGCCTCATTCTTTATTTGCTTGGAGAGTAGCTATTTATCCTTACGACCCCTAAGATGAGGATAAGCGTACTAGCTCTGTAAGTTAGCTATGGAGATTTAAAAGTTTACACACACGCACCCAGAGCATCCCTAATCTGAAAATTCGAAATGCTCCAAAATCTGACATTTTTAGAGTGCCAATATGGTGCCACAAGGGGGAAATCCCACACCTGACCCCATGTGATGGGTCGTAGTCAAGAACAAAAAGGGGTGCATTCAGAATATCGTCTAAGAGCACCTTCAGGCTGTTGGTGTAAACTAAACATGAAACAGATGAATTTCCTGTTTAGACTCAGCTTCCATGCTCAAATTGAAGTCTGAAACACTTTTGGCCCCAAGCCTGTGGATAAAGGATATCAACCTACATGCATGCACACACACGTGTGTGTTAACTCAGTGCCTTGTCCTCAATAATACACTTTCATTACAAAGTATAGCTTTCATTTGTTATTGCCTGCTGGATCTAAAAATTACTCAAGAAATATGATCTTCTCAGAGACAGCAGCGGATAGATTCTAAGGCAGGGGTTTTAAACTTTTTATGGTCTAGGGGCCCCTTAAGAATTACTAAGATTCTAGGGAACTTTTATTTTTGTGGATAATAACTATTGTGATAGATATTAAAGCTCAGCAATTTTTAAAATTTTTGTGAAAGATAACGCAATCTACTTCTCTTGTTTTTGCATAGGTGCAAGGAAAACTGGAATTTCAAAATGATTTAATAAACATGGTAAGGTTACAGAGATCGTAGCAGATGAAACAGATAAGAGCATATTCCACTGCTGAAAACACATATTTGTGTTCTTAACCTACTACTTTAGAAAGGCCTAAACAACCCAAGAATACTGTATACAAACTCATATTGCTTTAGCTATAGAAGAGATGGTTTGTTATGTGTTGTGTGTACTTCGTAAAACTCACTGTTCACTGGTGAGAGAATGAGAGTAAAAAAAATGAAAAAGCCAAATAATGTGATTATATATATATATATATATATATATATATATAAATGATATATGTATTTTTTTCAGCACTGAGGATAGAACCAGGACCTCACAGGTGCTAGGCAAGCCCTGTGACCACTGAGCTACCTTCTCAGCTGTTATTCTTTTTTGAGACAGAAATCTCAGTAAGTTACACAGGCTGGCCTTGAACTCTCGACTGTCCTGTGTCAGCCTCCTGAGCAGCCGGTATTACAGGTGTGAGCCATGGCACTGGACTGAACAGCACCTTATGTATGAGGTTTTGACCTTGTTGACTCTGCATAGGTGTTGGAGACCCCCCTGCACTTCCGGTCCCTTCTTGAGTTTAATATTTTTAAAAACTAACTTCACAATCATACTTGATTAGGAAAAAACACCTAAATAGAATATGTTTTCAGACTTGCAATATGATGCAGCAGGATGATGCTGTAGCACTAGAGGATGAACTTTAAGGCAGTTTTCAGCACATTCTGCGTGTGTCTAACGCACTTTCATCAGAGTTCTTTTTATCTTAGACATCCACAATGAAGTGGAGGCTGGTAGGGGTGAGAGGGGGCAGTGGTCGAGATGAGAGGTCATCACTGAGTGGCTCAAAAGCCAGGCAAAGATAACGACCAGCTTGGGTCATTTCCCCTGTCAGAACCCGGGAGTCAGTGGCAGAGGACAGCCTGCAGGCCCTGAGCTGTCTCATGCCTGTGAGCCATTTCGGGAGGCAGAACCCATGAGCAGATGCTCCTGGTACTCAGAGCAGGTGGTGGTAGAGCCAAAAGATGGGTGCAGAGGAAAAGGGAAAGGGTGCATTTAAAGGGCTGGAGGGTGCAGAGTAGGGTGCTGTGGTCATGAACTGCATAAAAGGAGGACAGCTGAGAGCACTTCTGCAGGCTGCCTACCGCTACAGGTTTCTACCTAGCTGGACTTTTTCTCCATGACGCCTACACCCAACAGAGGGCGCTGTTCTCTCACCGATTATGTAAATTGAGCTACTTTAAAAATGCCTGGCGCAGAGCTATTCACTTCTTCAAATCTAATGACTTCACCATACAGAGAAACAGGCTAGGGGGTAGCTCACGCTTACCGTGCGCGAGATCCTGGGTTTGACCCTCAGCACCACAAAGAAAAAAAAGCAGACAACCTAAAAGGATGGACATATAGATAAATACTGCATAGAAATAAAATGGTTTTTTTTTTACTGATTCAAATGTCATCTGTCACCTAAATCCTAGCGAATCAGGTATTATCTCTCACAGTCAGACGTATATTTTACCGTACTGCACTCGGAGGAGAAAGTGGCAATTATAAAACTCGTGTAAAATGTTTGTTTTTCTAAATCAACGGAAACAGATAGCATACTGTCATCTGTGTGTCATTCAGTGCGTATCTGGTACCTGCCACTTCCAAGACATCCTGTAGTTCATTGCAAGGGTACAAAACGGGTCACTGTCACCTCCCTATAGCATGGAGGAGTGGCAAGGGCCACAGGGGAGCTTGAGACCACTCTTTATGGATCAAATAATACCACCAGCTAATTACTGAGTTCTACTATAGGCTGGAAGCTGTTCTTAAGGTACACCTCACTTAAAATTCACTAGGATCTTGGAAGCTTAGGTACAGTGATTTGCACTGTAAAGACCATGGAGTAGTTTCTCTGGAGTCACACGTTCCAGCAGGGGACTCTAGCTCAGGTGATCAGAAGGGGAGTCATCTTCGAGGTACAGCTGGAAGGGAGGTACTGTTTGGGCATGAAGTCCAATCTCCACTCCTGCAAAATGGGGATAATGATTGTATTTACTTCATGTGTTTTAATGAAAATAAATATTTTAAAGTATTCAGGGAAGTGCCTGAAACTACAGGCTGGCTGTGGGTATTGGCCATTATTATGGCTATTATTACTTTTAAGTAATAGTGACAGGAAAGGGCGTCTTGATCTGAGTAACACCAGAGACAACAAAAAGCGTCTTCCTTAGGGAACTCAGGAGGCATGGACAAGCCGGCTGAAATGCTGTATAGGAGGAAGCAAAAAGACAGGGAAGTGATTATGGGAAAATCTATCTTCTCCAGGAGGTGTTCCTTGATTGCCTGAACAGGTCTGCTCTCTGCACTTACCCATATTCCTCTCCTCCTCTAATGTTGCATTTGCAACATTTGGTTCCATTAGGATCCATTTGGCCTGTTATGGGTTTAGAATCTCAGTAGGCACAGGGAGTGTAAGGCAAAAAGAAAGGGTGGCCGTGTCAGGCAGAGGGGTAGGCAGGGGCAGTGTCGGTTCATGCAGCGGGATGGGCCGAATGGCAGTAAGATCCATGGTTTGAGCACTTGGGAGGGGTCCAGGGAGGGTACAGGGACCTCAGGGAAGCCTGGGACCACAGTCTGGACATAGGTAAGTAGGCTTTATTTTCCTGCATGTTTTTGCCCCCAGTTTGAAAAAGCAGAGGTCAGCTATGGAGGTTCACCTTCTACACCATGAGTGAGTACAGCCACGTTCCCAAGGTGAAGAGGTCCCTCTTCATGGCACCTCGTGCCTTCTCGTCATGTTTCTTGGCCCTTCACATTGATTCAAAGCTTCTGATTCAATGATCTCTCTGTAGGTGTGACATTGCATAAGGAGACTTATTTCCAACTAAGCTAAGAGGGGATAAGAAGCAGAAGAAAGGAGGACTGCATGAAATACAGGAGTGAGGGCAGGCTGGAGAGAGAATCTGTTTCTGGAAGCTTCTGTGGGTCTTCATGGTTTGTCAGGGCCCCGCAGGAGAGGGAGTCCATCAGAGCGGGCTGCCACACTTTCCTCCATGTCTCCCCTTCGAGGCCCTTCACCCCCACCCATCAGCTGCAGTGCCCTCTGCTGTCTATATATTTACCAAAATGGAGTTTTCCAAGCTAATCCACTGTGTTCGTACAGAAAGGTAAGTGAAGTGAATTCACTTTTGCCATCAAATATTCCGCATCATAATGGAATCTTTTTCCTCAAAACAGTATCGCGCTTACTATGGAGCATTTAAAGCTGTCGAAGAGGAGCCCGACGACCTCCTAGCCTTGCGTTTTCTCTCTGTGATTTCAATCGTGGACCCTTGGATCTTTATCATTTTCAGAACTTCAGTATTTCGGATGTTTTTTCACAAGATTTTCATAAGACCTCTTCTTTACCGAAACTGGCACTGCCACTTCTACCAAACTAACGTGGAATCCAGTCTGTGACCAAGGTTCACACCGCCTGGTAAACTGCAGGATGGATCATGTTTTCAAATCACTCATGACTAAGAAAAATACAAAACCTTAGCTTCTAAATCTTTAAAAGGTATCTCCCCTAACAAAAGCTTCTAGGAACATCTCCGGAACTCCTTGATATGTCCAATGAAGTGTTGGCACTGTTATCCATGAAACTTTTTGGTGCGTTTTTTTCATTTCATGTTAACAGGAATTAAAAATGTTTATGATGTACGTCTTATAGCAATGATATTAATTGTTCCAATGTTTGTACCAGGTGTCCCTAAAATTTTGAGAGAAGACACCAGTGAATCTTATTTAAATACAATAGAAGCACCACTGTTTACAGTATCTGATGAGTGTTCTCTAAAAGACATAGCAGTGTCTTAGCTATTTATTTCCGGCGGCACCTGAATTGTTCATTTCATATTATACTTGCTCCCGTGTAATCGTTTTCTGTGTCAGTTGGACGAAGTACGACCTGAATTACAGGTGCTCTTCAGAGCAGTGAGCTGGGACATGCAACCAGGTCAGGCGCACAGAACACTTCTCCAGCCACCATCTGGGGACACAGACGGCCTCAGATGGAGACACAAAGCTATCAGTAGACATGAAGTTAGATATGAATGTGTCCCCAACTCAGAAAAGCAAAAGCCATTATCGTTTGAAACACAGTAAGGAGGCAAGGGTATCAGGAGGAATCGATATTTGGGAGCTGGTTGCAAAATATCCTTGCAGTGTCTGGAACTTTCCAATTTGATGGTTGTATCCCATTGATGGATGTTTTGCAGGGAGGATTTATGGTTCTCCGAAGCATAATTCTGTGTAGTTCTGCAGAGAGCTGTATCGACTGAGTCGAGATCTATGAAGCAGCAGATGTGTCCCAGTGAGAAGCCCACCCAGGACCTAGTGGTTCAGTTGAGTGTGGTGGCAATAACCTTTAACACCATTCATTATATTAAGAGGTATTCTGCTCTTCAGAGAGACAGATGTTATTGAGGCTCCTGCGAACTGTGCTTTCAGAACCAGAGGAGGAGATGGTTCAAAGGAGCACAACCGAGCACTTTAATTGCACTTTTAACAGTTTACAAGGGTAGCAACACTACAGCCCTAAGGGAAAAGTGGGGGAAACTCTAACCCAGCTTGCGGCAAGAACTTTCAGTTTTGGTAAAAGGACAGACCAGGGATGCTGGGGCAGTTTAGCATCCTGGAGTCCCTTTGTACCCCAACTCACTGCGATGCTGGCATGGAGATGGAGAGCTGCTACACTGAATCATGTCGCCGAAGCTTCACCGCCTCATTCTTTTGTTTGCCTTGGTTTTGTGCTATGTCTCAGAGGTGGTATTAACAGAGTGACACGTGACTTTCTGTTGTGTAGCAAAACTGTAAAGCCTAATTAGGAAGATACGAGGTTTAATTTGAGAGCGTGACGTAGCCAAAAATGCTGTTGTTTTGGAAGGTTAGTTTTCACTGTATGTTTCTTGTCTAAGTGTGTATATTTTTCTTTTGTCCGAAGAAAAGCATCTTTTTTGTGCTGCCTTTTGAAATGTGTCTTATGATGATTGTCCAGATAATTTGATAAGGCTCCAGATGAATCAATAAACATAATTTTGTAATATTTTTCTGTGGCAATTACTTTCTTCCAATAAAGAAAGGGCTTCCCTTTTTAGAGCAGCCATCAGCAATATTTCAGTCTCTAACAATGTAATTATATAAATTTTTGTATACTGTCTTTCTAGCATTTATATTTTGTTCCGTTTATCCAAGGGCTTAAATTGCCTCTTTTTGTTTTGCATAAAATGTCAGCTTGCCATCCTGATTAAGTCCACATTAAGTTAAAATCAACCCTGCAGTGATCTCTATTAGTTTATTCATCAGTTCATTAGCGCAGTGGCACAGACCTTGCACCAAGCAGTTGATTGATTAGGTGCTGAGTGAAAGAATGACTCAGTCCTGGCCGAGGAGTTGTTCAGTTGTCCACCAGGGGGAGTCAGGGCTGCAAAGAGTTGGGATGCAGTGTAGACTCTGCCAGGAGTCAACAGCCTCTGCCTGCAAAGCAGGACATCAGAGGCTTCCAGCAAGCCTGAGAACTCCACAGGGACAGAGGATGATTCAGTTCAGGCAGGGATTAAAAGGCAGCAAACATTTTTAAAATTTTTATTTTAAAATTTAATTTGTGTATGTTTGCGGTACATAATGATCCCATGTGGAGAGTTGTACATGTACATCACACATTTTCATTCTTTTTTTCATCTCCTCCTCCTCTCCCCATCTCTTGGTCCCCTTCCCATTTGCAAAAGATCTCTCTCTCTCCATTTTCTCTTTCTATTTTTTATTTTGCTCTCTAATTTATATGTTGGGTTTCTCATATAAATGAAACTGCAATATTTAAGCTTGTGTGTCTGATTTATTTCACATAACATTATGGTCTCAAGGTATAGATTATAACTCCAACTGGAAACTGCATAGGGCACCCAAAGAAATATGGTACGTAAGATGCAATACAGATGGTTAATAAATGTAGAAACATGTCCCACCAAACCAAAGAAACAAAAAAGTAAAATCAAATGACCGAGAACCAAAGGAAAAAATTATGACATAGAAAAACAAGGAGGAGCATTCGTGCTCCCCTGATGGGTTTGTAAATTTGTGCACCCTTAATGGTAAAGTGATAATGTGTGGTTAGGACCCAAAGTGTCCTTTTCTATTGTTCTAGTAATCTCCTGCCAGAACCATCTCCCAGGAATAGCAGGACTGTCAGATCACACTCAAAACTTTCCTTTGTGGCTTATAATTTGTAATAGCAAAAAAAAAAAAAAAAAAAAAAAATGACCAGAATGAGGACAAAAACAAACTTGCACACAAACACATATTTATGCAAACACATTCAGTCATTAAAGGTCTTTTCAAATGATTAACAAATATTAAGAAGACATAATAAGTAAAAGCAGCATAGGACAAACTATTTTAGAGTAGAATCTACAAATATGCACGTGTAGAAAATACCTTAAAACCAGGCATCATATCACACTCCTGTAATCCTAGCACCCTGGAGGCTGAAGCAGTAGGATCACAGGTAGAGCCCAGCTCTAACAACTTAGATAATTAGAGGGACCCTGTCTCAAAACTAAAAATTAAAAAGAGTTGGGAATATATCCTGTTATGAAGCCCCAGGGTTCAATCCCCAAACCACAAAATAATCAGCAGTTTGTGCTTTTTAAAATTTTTTTCAAGTCTTTTTCCTTATTATAGGGGATTGAACCAGACCCTTTGCACTGAGTTCCATCCCAACCTTGACCAATTAATTGATTGATTGATTGATTGATTGGAGACAGAGTCTCACTAAATTGTCCAGGCTGAACTAGAATTTAAAATCCTCTTGCCTCAGCCTCCCACAGTGCTGGGATTACACTTGTATCACCATCCCTGACTAGTTACATTTCTTTTTTTTTTTTTTTTTTTTTTTTTTTTTTGGTATGAGGGTTGATCTCATGACTAGGCACTTGCCAGGCAGGTGCTTATACCACTGAGCTAAATCCCCAGCCCTAGTTACATTTCTTCTGAAACACACCACACACACACACACACACACACACACACACACACACACACACACAGTGTACTTCATGAAATCCTATTTTGAGAGAATGAAGAAGTGGACAGAGCAAAAAGGAAGAAAGAGCAGGGCATGAGCTCTCGGTCTAAAGGAAAGGCCTGCACCAGGGAACGCAGGAGGAAAAGAGGAATGTGAGTCCGGGCTTAGTTGGTAGCTTCCTTTGGCAGACGCTTGAGATTTAGGACACAATGGGAAGGAGAGGCGGCTGAAAGAGGAGCAGGTTATAAAAGGCATCGAAACAAGGAGTGGGCAGACAGAGGGTCGCTGCTCTAGAGGCGGCCAGATGGAATTGGGCTGGATCTGCTGGTGGCGTGGCTTGTGATTGGGGTGAGGGGATAGGGGCACCAGAGAGATTGGGAGTGCTCATGTGGGGCCCTGTGCAGTTGTGCAGTCTGTGCACTGGCCCAGGGCTCCCTGCTGAGGCTGTGAGGGTGTGAAATGCAGGCACACCCTGCTCAGCTTCCTTGCAGCTCAAGAGAAGGGAGCCCCTCTTAGGATCCCTGCGCTGTTCTCCTCAGGTTCCCTGTTTATCTAGGTGGCAGATTGCAGTTACACATTGAAATGAAGTTGCTGGGATATGGTGTGTAGTTGAAATACTCTACCTAGCCAGGCCCAGGAGGAAGCAAATATTAGGATTGTCAAGTGAGTGCCACACATTCTTCAAAGGCCTTTTGGGCCACGCATTCCTGAGGAGCAGAGAAATCCTGTCAACACCAAAGTCAGGAGTGGCCTTGGACCTTCTGCAGCCATGCAGGCCTCATCATCTGCTTCTGATTGAGAATTCCCGTGCTCCAGGCCCATCTGTGCTCCAAGCCTGACCCTCGGCCGGCAGCAGTATCATTGTACAGAACGTATGGAAAATGCAACCTCTCGGCCTCCTTTCAGCATGAGGAGCAGGTCCACAATTCCTCCCCTTGGAATTACTCTTTCCCAGGAGGCTGGGATTGCTGGCATGGCTGTTGGGGGGGGGGGTGGCGGGGAGGCAGAGCCTAGCCTACAGGTAAGCAGTGATTAGGGCTCTCCTCTCTACCTCTGCACCATTACCCACTGCAGTGAAATCCACAGGTCTCCAACTATCTGCAAGGTGAACAGTCCAATCCTCAGACCATGAAAAACTTGAATGAACTCAGAATTCACTCAGTCTTGGAAATATTTACAACAAAGGCATTTAGAACCTGCCATATTTACTACAGTGTCAAGAAGGGAGAAGAAATACATTTAATTTTGTCATTGCTGCTGTTGTTAATTCAATGCTAATGCCAGGGAGTACATTAAACCTGAATTGAGTAAAAAT